ATCAATGCATTTTCATTTTAATGGCGACACATAAGATATGTAAGTGTCTTTTTAGACTCACGTAGACATTCATCTGGCTGTAATCTCATTTGGGATAATACCTTTGCAGAACTGTGTCTCTGCTGCATGTGAAGAAGAACCACTGAAGCCAACGAGACATCGGGGACGCAGTCCGAAAGTTACTAAACCGACCAATGGGATCCTCTCCCACAAATTCACATCCCGGAGCTTCCCTCTGAACAGTGAACTGATCTGTCTCCTCCAAATCCTCAACGGGAGGGATTGTGCTGTTTGAAGTGGTCGGGCCACACGAGCGTCTTGACCTTTCCTCGGTTTGCCTCCGGCTGTCGCCGGCGCTCACACGGCAGAGCGATTGTTTGAAGGCTTCTTCTTTCCTCACAGATTTTTTAGGGCTCCTGTCATCTGATGCATCCAACTCACTTTAATGAGCAATAGACACTTGGAATGACAAGCTTACACAACTTGGACAATTTGTGTGATCCGATATGAGCGTGAGTACAGTTTGCGTGTGAACTGCATGATGATGTTGCGGCCTGCGGCAAAGAATCGGCCTGAGACAGTAAGGCTGCACTCGTCGACTTGTCCGGAAAGATCACTGGGGAATCGACTATTTGCAGTCAACACGGAGACACACAATCAGACGTGCTCACACGCATCTGTGAAATCATGCAATCAGACCAGGCCGACTGCAATCAGACATTGGTAAAGACACACACTCACTCCCTCACACACACACAAACACGCTGGCCATGATTTGTTATTATTCCAGCAGGATCCACACCATCAAAACAGGAGAAAATGATTGTACTCTGTTCAATGCACTCCTTGAAATGTCAAAATGAAATTAATAGGTCTGGAATGGTTGTGGTGATCACAGGCGGGACAAAGAGCAAGCACATGTTAAGACCAACAATCAACAGGAAAAACTATACTATGTAAGGTTGTAGAGTATAATATTGCATCATGTTTCTGTCCGAGAGCGGGTGATTAAATCTACCAGAATAATTTATATAAAAAGCAATACTAGTGCTGTTACCATTATTAACACCACAGGGAGACGCATTGACGGACTGATCCCCGGATTAATATTTCATATTTTCACCGACCCTTTTATCCTTCAATCCCGTGTGCGCGTGATTCGTTATCAACAAAACAAGATCCACAAAACAAAATTGTCGGTTTGAAAGTGGGTTTGATTTCCTGGCGGCGACCTTTGTCCCCGTCACGGTGGCCGTCTGTGTGCCCCGACTTGTTATGCATACATTCTTTATTGAATCAAATGGGAACACGGCGCCCGGGCAAAAAGGAACATGGCGTTTCTTCTCCTTCCATTGGAGTGAATTGGGGCCTCGGGCTAGCCGTGTGCGCTGCAGTGTCACTGTCTGACAACTTTAATCTGGGATCTGCTGCTGTGACTTTTTCACATGGATGGCCGAAGGCTGAAATCCAACCGCACCTCTTCAGAGCCACGGGGAAAATATGTTACTGGCCATTGTTACAAAAGTTCTACCAAAGGGTTTATTATACGGGGCTGAAACTTACCGAAAACAACCGCCTTCATTTGTGACACCACTTTGGGAAAATTGTAATTGTATAATATTTTGTATTTGAATGGAACTTCTTCCCTTATTATTCCACGTAGAGTTCAAGTCCGACTAAACAGTTTTGTCAAATGTATTTCAGGATGATACTGGTATTTTAAGAGGTTTTTACCCATTTGTCTACTTACATTGTATTTCAAAGTAGAACATTTTGTACCCTTCAGTCTCACGCTTCATGGCTTCTCATTGGACTGCGATTGGGAACTTACTTACCAACCACTTTGTTGCCAAATGTAGCAACAGTTTCAGCAAACAAAGAGCAAAGAAACATGGATATTGTGATAAAAAGGTGAGGTTATTGCTTAGCAGTCACTTCACAACTACCACTTTGAGGAGCCCAGGCAAGCCCCCCCCCCCCGCAGTGTATGTTACACGGCGTTCCTGCTCGAGGGATTGGGCGGATATTCACTGACTTTCCAGTGGCGCCGCTGACTGGTCGGCATTGACAAACCGCAAACGGGACGTTCCACTTTCCTCCAGCGTTTCTTCACACTGCTGTTCAACCTTCAGTCCCTCCCTCCGCCCAGTGGACTAATGGATGCTGACGGTTCCTTTGTGTGTGTGTACGTGTGTGTGTGTGTGTGTGTGTGTGTGTGTGTGTGTGTGCGTGTGAATGCAGAAGCTGATTCGCGACCAAACAGCAAATTGAACATCTGGAGAAAATGCACTAAGTGAAGCTAAGATCAGCAATTTTATACTACTCCCACAATGTGTCATCATAGTGTGTGTGTGCAATGTTCATATTCTTAAGAATTATGTAAAGCACTAAATGTACTAAGACACAGTAAAGCATCGTCTTATCCGTTTAATACACAACTTGTTTGTAATGAAAGGTGTTGTGATGAGAAGCTCTCCGGCTAAACGCTTTGGCCCTGGGTTTTACTTTAAGTGACGATACAAACACACCTCAACACTTGCCAGAAATTCTTTTAAAAAAAACCGTTGGTTTGCCTCTTCATGCGTGTGTGTCCTGGTTGACCGCGTGGGCACACGCTTGTTGTTGTTGTTGGCCATTAATTAGCGTAAAGCCCGGCGCCCCCCCCCGTACCGTCTCTCTGCGTGTCACACTTGTTTATTTAGCACAACAGCAGCAATTAAGCCGCCGACATGTCGGCCTTCACTCCAAGTCCGCCGGCCCGCCTCCCCGACTTAAAACCCGGCTTAGCGGACACATCTGCTGGCCTTGTAGCCTTCGGAGGACGCCTTCGGAGCGCCTTCCAGCCTGACCAGATGTCCACTTTACCGCCCACCTCTGCACATGTTTGGAAAAAACCCCAAAAAAAACCCAAGCGCGGCCTTGAATATTAAAGACGGCGAGGTTCATTTATTTAGGGCTGCGTCGGGGGCCACCAAGGGATGCTCATTTGAATCTCGTTTGTAAAGCTGTCTGTGCTTATCTGTCAGCATCAGAGGAAGCAATTTCTCTCTCCCCACCGCATCCTCCTTGTCTGCTAAATGGCAGCGATATTTAGAGGTGCTTGACAACTGAGGCATGCAAATCAGGGGCCGGTGTCTCCTTGGTTCTTTTTTAGTTTCTTTCGCCTCTCACCCCCCCTTAGCGCCCTGAGTAGGTCCTCTTAGCCCCTCCAAGGAAGATGCTGTTTGTCATTCTATTCCTGTAGCTGTAAAGGAGGAGAGTGTTTACAAAGGCTTCATCCGTAACTTTTCTCTTAACCTTATTTGCAAGCTCGGCCGTGTTTACGTGATCCGGTGTATTTCATTATGCAACCCTGCATCGCAAAATAAATGAAAAGTAATTTACAAGAAAACACAACTCTATTAATAAGTTGTTGCTTCGTATTGAACCACCTGTTTGCAATAGCTTTAATATTTATAAGGTGGAAGGATGTTACGCTGTAATGCTTTTCCAAATTAACACTGATAAAAAGCAGCGACTGTATTTGCCGTTTACTGAGAGCATGAAACGCCAGGACTGGGTGTCACATTTCACAATATCAGGCTGGAAATTGCACAATCTGGCTTACACGTTGCCTCGCGCGGCAGCTGGGTCGCTGCTTCATCATGTGAGAATCGTGGGATCACAAATCACACCGAAAACCTCTCTCGTCGAGTTGTAAGCGATGCGCTGGTGTCCGAATCCAACGCGGTGCTGAACCACCAAAAGTGGAGCAATCACGCCACCAAAGGCTTTTCTAGATGCCAAAAAAATGATTCAGTTCTTCTTTGGTCGTGTGGCTCGTAGGTCTGATTGGTTGAATGTGACCCGTGATTAATGTTAACGGACAGATGGTTCCATCCAATCGCATGCCAAGAATTTGGCGGAAACGTTTTTTTCCATTGACGGCTTCTCGGACGGTTCCGTCTCACAAACCATCTGGCGTGTCAGGTTAGCATACGTGGCTTGTCTTTCATCCAATAGCATGCGCGTGATCGTGGAAAGCCACCGAGTGTGCGTCCGGGACGCCTCGATGGACGGACCAACACATTGATTTTTCTTATCTTTTATTTTGCTTTCTATCGGCAACGGCAGTTTGATTACATCTACAAGAAGCTCACTGCCGTACATGAACCTTTGGACGTCGTTCCTCTTGTTGTCTGATGTGTGTCTCAGGGGACACAGAAAGAACTTAGATTATGAAAAATGTCACAATCGTGGCAGTCGCAGTTCAGGTCAGTTCTCAAAGACAACACGTAGTTAAAAGTAATATAAGTCCATGTAATGTTTTGGCCGGTCCCGTTTCCATTTTTCGTTCCACGTGTAGCGATATTGCTTTAGATTTAAGGAATCTCGTCATTCTCAGTTGCAGCTGATGACCGATGAAGGCTGTGGCCAACTGTCCTGAACCGCGCCGGCTCGTCCACTTTCTCCCTGGTCACTCGCTTCTATTTATTTCCTGAGGACGCGCATTAAAGGGTTTTGCTTCGACCGCTTGCTGCAAGTCTCCAACGCTAATTAAATTAAAAAATGTAAAAAAACTAACAACTAACTGACTCAAGAGCATTGCTCGGAGCATGTGACAGCAATTCTTATCAATTTTTTACGGTCGGGATCAGGTAAAATGACTTTGTTCATAGTAGGCAAAGCATGGCTGTCACTGATAACGCCGGCTCTGCTCCGGCAACCAGCGAGCTACGAGGCTAAATGGAATTTGGCGCCAGGGGAAAAATGTCTTCTTCAAAAGGATCCGTCCTCACTCTGTAGGTTTCCACTGTGCTTTCTTTTAATCCCACGTGTGCTATTCATTTCTGTTACCCCCCCTGCCCCCGACGGTCATTGTCACCATGTGCCTTAAATAGATGTACATGCATGTTGCATGATGTAGCGTGGGCATCTGGAAGAAAGCCGCCGCGGCTTTGCCTATCCTCCTTTGCACTTGTTGTAATCGCCGCGTTGCTGTCTCTCTCTTTCGCTCGCAGTGGTGAGTCTGAACCTGGTGACGGACAACGTGTCGGTGGTGGAGGGCGAGATGGCCATCATCAGCTGTCGGGTGAAGAACAACGACGACTCTGTTATCCAGCTGCTCAACCCCAACCGGCAGACCATCTACTTCAGAGACGTGAGACGTGAGTGTCCGCTGCGCCCGAGCAACAGGCATCAAACGCGCGTGATTCATTCCCGAGCCGTCGCTAATGGAGCCGCTTTTCATTTGGACCATTTCCTCCAACTGAGAGACAACACGTGACACCACACCACGTCGCTGTTACGTGTTTGTCGTTGTTTGGTAGTTTCATGGCGCGTTTAAAACGTAATGTAAGTATACATGCTGGCTGTTAAGGCTTAGCTCTGATGAACGGATGGCTAATGATGTTGTGGTGCGTCCGAGGCCTTCTCAAGTCAGGAGATGTTTCTCCAGGGATCGTTTCATGCTGAACTCACAACACACAACTGGCCACGTAACTTCAGACGATGTACAGTCAGAGTGTATTTACGGACCACTCAGTACGTCTATCTACCTTCATGATGATTCATGCAGAACACGGGGGGCACGAGGTTTCCGTTGCATAAGACAAACAGAAAGATAACAAAGTGGCGCTCTTGAAGGACTTCACGTTGACCATAAGGTTCGCCCCACGTTGTCCTCCCATCAAACATCCCAGATTGTTCTCTGGCACCAGACATGCAGTTCGGTTGTAGCTGTTTAGGGAGGCGTCGTAGATCATCCCTGGGGTTATTATGGGGCTGCCAGAGGATGGAGTAGGCTGTGGCTGGTAGTAGTACACTGTCTGCTCGCAAGTGAGAAATCATTCAGCCCGGCCGTGTCTTTACGTGACGGATATGGAATGTGTTTAATTATAGTCTCCCGGTTTGATGCCATCAGATGACACGGAAATCAATCCCACGGAGGCGTTTATTTATGTCACTTCCACTGGTTCGTTTTGCAGCCAGTCATAAAATTAGACATTTGACATACGATTTGCATTTGCTAAAAATTGAGTCCAGCCACAGTTTGACGACAAAGCTGATGAATTGTGTAGTTTAACCAAAATCGTGTGAATGAGGCCTGCAGTAAAGCTGCAAAGCGTTGATTCATTTCATTTCTCGCGTTGCTTGCACTTCTTTCGTGGCGCTGCATTAAGTTTGACCCACATGTCGGCTGTAGGATTAATGCAGAACGAGGTTAATTCTGTCTCCCGAACGTGGTGCGCTCTCGGCGTGTCTGCTCCAGTAAAAGCCGCTCATATCCCTAAACATTTAATGACCTGTTGTGTTTATTCTTATCCTGCCCAATTATAATGTCACATCTCTAATTAGCCGCATTCAGCCGGACATGCTCGCTGCTGTCGTGACACGTCTCGGGGTTTTTTAATTATGTTTTTTGAGCCGACAAGTTTAGAATATTGAGAATAAATTATATGTCCCGTCTCTGGTGCCCTATAACAGCAGTATTATGTTACATGAGCAAATAAAATGAAAAGATTAGCACTCATTTCTTTTGCACAAACCACACGATCGTGTTTCTATGTGTTCACCATGTAAGATAAGATATTGCTTTATTAGTCCCACAATGGGGAAATTCACACATTGCGTGCCCATATTTGGAGTCTAATGTATTTCATGTTCCTTTAAGAACTCGCATGGTGCCAGAAAGATGCAGATTTTAACCCCATAACGGAATAATTATTCCTAGTATCACACTTCTGGAGAAATGATATTTCGATGAAATGAGGCCGTGTTGGATTGAGCACAGTTCCTGTCACTTAAGTGGCTCTGTTAACATTCACCCCGACTTTTGCAATAAGTCTTCACGCCTCCTGGATTAGTAAACAAATGACGATGAAATTAATGAACAGAATGAACAGAATAAACTTGTGAACGTAATTCAGACGCCAATTATGTTTCCTCCATAATATATTGGCAGATCAAAACAGGAAGTGTTCTCTGTAGACATTTCACACATTATTGAATAGAGTGATTTTGAGCAGAATATTTCTCTATTGGAAGATTTCTGAGCCTGGTATTGTTTTTACTTTGGAGCATGAGCTTTAAAATGTACAATTATTGTTGCAATCAATTGTAGAAAAACTCCAGCAGTGCTGCTTGAAAACAGCTGCAAGGTAAACATATCAAGTGAGGATGGGATTCTATTCTTCACCGCTGCTGTGGAGTTTGTTTGTTTGTTTTTAGATACGTTATCTGTCTCAGCCACTGGTCCTCTCCCTGCCCTCTGAGCCTGACGCACTGCAGCCGTGTGTGTGTGTGTGTGTCGCATCCGACTCCCACACAAGATGCTTCTGATCAAGTGAGCAGGGAAGGAAACGCTCTGCGCTTTATTTAAAATGAGAAAATACATTGTTATGATCCTGCGTTGTTTCCACTTCAGAGTAAATGAATCCAACTTAAATTCTGACTTTTGGATCCCTGAGTTTGTTTCAAAATGTGCATTGATCAGTTTACAGATGGACGATAGAACCAATCATCCACGTTTCATTTGCAAGTCCCCAAAAAATGTTTCATTCATTCATTATTTACGTAACAATCACAGTTTTCAGTAACGCCACTGCTGCATTTAATTCATGTATTTCTATATATGTTCATCAGCTGCCTGTTCAATGCCGTATCCATCCCACACTGCACATGCCAAGCGGCTGTCTGTTTTCTCCACCACTTAGTACCTCTTTCAACCATATTTTACCTGTTTATTCAGCTGAAAATAGACTTCAGCTGCGTGCACAGAATGAAACACAGCCTCACACAGACAGTTCCCATTCAGATCCATAGGAGACTTTCCGCCCCCCGGCGGGGGGGGGTTGAGCGTGGAGGAGGGCCTGACACTCACCCCCCCCTCCTTAGACATGTTCGCCGCCTAACAAACACACCCTCTACGCATTATACAAGGGCACACTCGCGGAATGCTCCGTGCTTATGCTAAACCGAGCTGGCTATTTATCCGCTGAGCCGCAGTTGGCCGACTCCCACAAGCTGGCTGTCAAGGACGAGGTGTTTTTTCCCTTTGATGGGGAGGGCGGGGGACGGGGGGGGGGGGCTTCTTGATCTCCAGTGATCCCTCCCAGGCATCTTCGGCGCAGCTGCACTGCTTCATTATGACACGGCATCCACCAAGGCAGCCTCCAAACAACATTGTCCCTTTCAAAATATCACACCTGCCATCTCGCGCCGAATCGGCCGCGGCGCGTGAGTGCGAGCCGGAGAGCAGGAGAGGCCAGAGACACAAAGAATAAACCTCAATACCGTTCATCTCCACCTGAGTGTATGTCCTACACATTTCCCTTTACTTCTTCGCCCCCGACTGAAAAGAGGGGTGAGAACATGGAGAGCAGCAGTGAACTTCTGTGACAAGGACGACTAATGGCGCTTTAATATGCGTTGTTGTTATCACTATTTTTAGCAAGCAGATTATGCACAGATGGGGATGTTTGGGAGACACGGTGCGCTGTTTAACATGTGAAGACTGCTGCCAGAGGTAGTAAACAGCCAGCTGTAATGCTGGAGCTCTAACCGCCATATGTTGTTTATTCTCGTCCCATGTAAGACGCACTCCTTCTGCTGCTAATGTGCTGTCCCTGAGATGACCTATGGTAGTCCTGTTGCATGGCTTTTACTATCAATACAAACATTATAGAGCGGGAGGGGGAGGGGGAAGTCATAAATGTTAATAACGAGGGCGGGGTAATTGGATTACCAAATATCCGTACATGGAGATTTGAGCAGCCTTCAGCTCAACAACCAGCAGTTGGGAGCAGCGACACGCACACACGTCGGAGGAGGGGAAGATCACAGCTTCTGGAGCAGTGGGTGATCTGTCCACAGAAGGCCAGCGAGGATCAGGGGAACAGGCTGCGTGTGAAAAACAGCTTGATAGCAGGACGAAGCGCCGCGTTCTGAGGGATAAGTTTACAGTTTTGGGGCGAAAGCATTAACGAAAGGCTTTTGCATCTCTTTGTTGAACAGCTTTCCCACGTGAAGGTCAAACATCAACGCGTTTTTGTCCACATAGTTTAAGGTCAATCTGATATTGATTCTGGGCTTTATTTTGTGCAGCATCCATTTGCTCGTGTGAAGAGTCAGAGGAGATGGTCTAACCTTTAATTTTGGCATTTTTAACGGAAGGGCATCTCATATGAACACAACTAGGACATTTTACCAAATTTAACAAGTGAGAAACACTGATCAGAAAGGAAATTGGGACTGATTTTCAATACAAACAGTAACACAATGCCTTAGATATAGAATATTTTAATGAATATACAGAAGAAGGACTTGACTGATGACGTCATCGTGAGACAGAGACTCCTGGATTCTAAAAACTCGCACAACGCCAGATGCTAAAAGAACTTGAGCGAGTACTTTGGTCCCCGTCAGCTGTGCCAAAGGGAGACACAAGCCGCTGCGTCCTAACGGCTGCTGAAGCGATGCCAAATGTTCCCGTACTTTGGGTCGAGGTGGCGTCTACACCGTCATTTGGAGGCCTGGACTTCACCTAGATTGTATGCAATTACCCCCCCGGCCCACCGTGGCTCACCCATCCTGACACGCGGTGGAAAAAGAGAACGTTGATGTGCTCCTCTCAAAAAGCGGCGGCGGCGGCGGCGGCCACTAATCACAATTGATTGCAGACACTTAGCCGAGGAACACTTATCCTCGGCCGCTCTCCTGATGGGATCCGTCCTCGGCCGAACCCGCAGAAGAAGAAATGATTCAAATGAAATGCAGAGAAGTGCAGAAAGAATGAAGATGAATCCAGAAAGGAAGGGGTGAGAGGGGGGCGTGGAGGGGGGGGGCGAGCAAGATGAGTATAAAATCACGCAGTCAGCACAGGTGAAATAGAGGCGAAAGAGCTATTAGAGAATGTATTGATCCCAATTCGCTTATGTGTCTTGTAGTTTATTTTCACCAGAAGACTCGTCCACTCTGAATTTATCTCCACTGCTACGTTTCGACGATGAGATCATGGCAGCTTGATAGATTTTATTCGATATGACTTGCAAACATGGAATATGTATTTATCCCCACTCAGGGTGACAACGCAGGCCGCGCCACAAGACAGCAGTGGATTCAATGTTGAGCGGCTTCTAATGCATCAGCCAGCTGTCGCCGCCACCATTTGAGTCAACGGCGATTTGTGACCTGGATACTTTGCCCTTTTTCATCTAAACGCTTTTAATGATTCCTAATAAATACCCAATTCACTCATTAATCAGCAGACTGAGCAGAAACGCTCAGTGCCGTTTGTTATCTGGTCAAATAAAAACTCTTTTCTTCGGGTCTCAGGTGCGACTGTGAGGCTCCTCCTGCTCACATGTCAAAGTGTCCTTGAGTAAGACACTGAAACTCAAAATGGTCCCCGATGCGCTTTGCACGTCTGCTCTGCTGCCACATGGGTGTGTGTTTGGGACAGTTTGCGTGTGTGTGTGTGTGTGTTGTCGTGGGTGAACCAGAGCCTTTGGAGGCCCTTTGTCCTTCTCAAGTTGGGCAGTGCTATCTATACCCGTCCCATTTACTATATAAGTGCTGCCTGGTAACAAGAGACTACGATCACAGGGGCTAATGACAACGCTAATGGGGTCTCGTTTTTTTTCAAACGCATTCCCAACGCGATAATCACAGTTATTGATCGTTGTCGTCACTGCTCCTCTCCGTACCGCCCGCTGAACTATGAGCGGCTGCGATGTCAAACTCAAACCAGAGCAGATGTGGTGGAAAGCCCGGCTGGAGCCGCCATGAACCCGTCGCCTCGGGAAACCCAGTGATAGAAGCTCGGACTGGGAAGGCAGATTCCTCGTATATCGTTCTAGACACAAGCATATCTACCTTTCGTTCATTTTCACTCTAATAAATGTATTTCTTTTATATTCCTCTGTTTCAGAGAGGGGTAAACATACACAACGATACAAACAATGCGGAGCAACATCATTGGTTGAAGCTGGCACACTTGTTATCGGCTGTGATCTGCACGACAAGTGACGCAGATCAGAGCAGAATTAACTTTCACATTGCGACCTACCTCGCAGAGTCTCCTGCTACTGTACCGTCTTATCACCGCTTCTAAATTAGCTTCATCACTATCGGCTGCGAGTGAGCGATCGGATGATATGCAGCCTTTCAGAGTCGGGACACAGACCCTTTCTTCCGTAGGCCTGACAATCATTGACCTTTGTCAGACATCTGTGATGTCCTTCTTATGCTATCAGATAAGCATAGAACAAGCGAAGAGGAACAGGGCGAAAGGGCACGCGGCTAAAGGTCGCCCGCTACTTTTTCTCCAAAGTACACAGAGAGGAGACGGATTCTAGCGTGCTCTGACGCAACAATAAAGGACTGTTATTGTTTCTGAAGAAAAGCGCTGTGGCCGAGCCGGCTCGGGGAACAAGACCGGTGTCTCTGTGTTTCTTCTCAATGTCTCTTCTACCACAATGCCTTATTTAGGAGTGATACATGAGAGGATTATGAAATGTTTTTCTGGTAAAAAATGGATTGCATCTGATTGGGGAGGATTGTGGGGAGTTGATTGAAGAAGGGCTTCTGGCAGAGGCACGGTGTTATGTCATCTTCGTGCTGTGCCGAATACAGAAATAGGACTGTTACTTGTAACACTGCAGCATATTTAAAACATGTTGCTATTGACTAATGGAAACCTCCACATACGTCTCTGATTCGGTCAACAACCCAACTGCCGTCGAGACCGTCGACAGCTGCTCCCACAGGTGGATGTAAACAGAGGTTCCTGAATCTTTCAGACCCGGCACCACTTTACACCAAAGGACATCTCCAACTGCGAGCTGCTGTTTGTTGCATTGAAAGGTTCGCCTGACTCCCGACAACATCTGATGTATCGGAGGCAGAAAAAGATCTTTATCGACGTTCCAGAGCCAAACAAACGAAGCCTCCGTGCTCTGGGCGAAGGGAGGGCCAAAGGGGGCGGGGCTAACAGCAGCCTTAATGGAAGGGTTGTGGCGTCCGAAGCACTTCGGTGGTTAAATGTTACGGTTCGCCTTCCATCTCTTCTTTTAGGTTGTGCTGGCTGGCGTGGACCCAACAGACCTGAGCCTCACTCAACATCCAGGGGATGTTTTTAAAGAAAAAGGGGTGAAACATACTGAAGCATAACCCGAGAGAAAATTATAGAGAAAAAAGAGAAAATTCTTATTCTAAATTTGGGACAAATATTTTTATTTAATAATTTATCCATATACATTCACTTGCTTATTACTTGAAACATAAATATTATTTTCCGACTGAAAAATCGATGCTGACCATTTATTATGTCCGTCTTATGGTCACATGCTGCTTTGGGGAAACTGCTGCCTTCTTTTTAATGTAAAACGGATTTACCTTTTATCCTTTTTCCTCCATTCAGATCTGAAAATGACCATTTATCAATTTATGACAGAACTTCCAATACTGAGATTCTTCCACTGCTGCCAGTAACCTTTACTCGATCTCCAGCAGCACAAAGTATGAGTACGTTTCCCTCGGGAGCAGCTCTGACTCTGAAAACAGCTTGATGTTTACTAAAGTGCGTCTGTATACTGCCGCATTAGTATTTTTTAATCTGCCACTATTTCATTCAATTAAATCATTATGAGTAGAGTCTGACCTCCCGTTTTAATGAGGGCTCACAAGGCCTTTGAATGAGCTCCCCTAATTAGGGGCGTATTATTCATGTGACACAATAAGGGCTTCATTGTTCCTGGATAAAAGAATGTAATCGCTTCACTAATGGAAACCAACCATTTCATGTTCCTGCCTTCGCATGAGACATGAAGTCCTCGCGTGCCGCGTTCTCAGCTCGCTAGGTCTCACTTTTTTCTGTTTGGGCAATTATCAAACAATGCTACTCGACCGCGCGAGTCGTTTCCCGCCATGTTTATTTGCGATGGACACGCTGTACACGGGGATCGCTTCATTCTGCACGTCTCACTCAAACATACACGCGGGCGTCTTTGCCAACGTCTGCGCCGGCACGCACGCCGGCCGCCCGTCTCAAGAGCGCGAGCGTGACTCGAAATGTTTTAGGTTTCAAGTCTTATTTCCTTCGACGGCGCACATGTTAATGGGAGTTTCATACAGAGATAACGGAGTCAGTCAGACACGTACTCGCTTACATGCACACGCACTCGTCCAAAGGCCTGTGGTGGTCCTTAATAAAAAAAGTCTCACCTCCAGTTCACAGTGTTTTTTTAATGCACAAATGAATTTGTGGTAATTAGTTGTGTTATTTCTCTCTGGCCGTCTCTCTCCTTTGTCATCATTCTTTCATCTGTATCACACGTCGAAGGCAAATGAACCCTGGCGACGCATCAGCATCACCTTCCTCCTGTCCGTCATCTGTGACATCACAACGCAGCCGGGCATCGAAATCTGTTTTAACATCTCGTGGGTCTGAACTTTCCGTGTTTAATGCTTCGAGCTTTAAGAAAAAGGGAAAAACCGAACGCACAGATGCGTGTAAGGAGCTCGCAGTTGCCGTCAATCAAATCAGAATGGATCAGCACATCAAAGGGGGGATGGAGACGGGTCGGCTCTCATCTTACAACACGTTGTCGTGCTCCATTACAGTTCATACTCAGGTAGATGGGAAAACAAGGTGAGGCGCGATGAAAGCAAGCAAGCTCGCCTTTTAAAAGAGAAGAAGAAGAAAAAAAGGAACCAACCTTATGTTGTAATTGCGCTGTTATTGTGTGTTTAAATTAGCAGCTTTAAAAATGACTTCCTCAGTTCCTTTTTTATATGGCGAATCATTTCGATGCTGCGTAGAATCTCAATCGCTACATATTGATGACAAGAAATATTTTTCATTTTCTACATTAGATTAATACAGCAGTTCAAGACAATTAATCTGCATACAAATCAGGAAAGGAAAATAAATTGTTAGTTGCAGGCCTAGATTAAACTTTCTTTGCCTTGTTGATTTTATATTCATGGAACCAAAGTGGTAAAATAACCGTTCTTCATATCAAAACGATCACAGGGCCGTTTCAACACCATTCAGGTCAGATTAACAAAAGATGACTCCTCCAGAAGCGCTTTAGCAGACTTTTGTTTTTGAATTATCAAACCGAAGACGTACAAGGCTCATAGACACTCGTAGGTCAAAGGTTACAATGTCGTTACCTTTCTTACCGTTCCTAAAAAGTCCCTCTCATCACTCCCTGTCGCAGCAGAGAGAACGGCACACGTGTTGATTTAAAGTCTTATAGGCAGGACGGACACGTCACTCGCCACTGAGAACTCAGGGGGGAAATGAAGACAACCAACCCCCCCCCCCCAAAAAAAAATCACCACGGAGGCAGAATGATGGAAAGTCTAATGAAATGGCAATTCAGTCTGATTGCCAGGGTAGTAGTGGATGACGGAAGCAACGACATCAGTGAGTTATTCTGACCTCAATCCACTGAGCAAAAGCACCAAGAAATGGAAAACAAAGAGGCAGAAGCGGAGACGTCGCAGCATCACGGGGACGACGTCTGCGGGTCGCAGACCTCAAACAGCCAATCACAGCAAAGGGTTTGACGGCAAATGACTTATGATGAGGTTCGGTTTGTCCCTTTGTGTTTGGCCGGCTAAAATTGAGGGATCCTACATGAAAAAAAGGGCTTCGGATCGTACACTTCATCTGGAAATGAGTCCAAATACTTCACAGATCGGACCAATGCGATTTCCTCCAGTCAAAAGGACTTTGGCTCTCACTGCTGTTTTACCGCGTGTTCGCCGTATTGAATTCTAAACAGCTCCGTTTGTTTCTCGCCCTCCAGCTCTGAAAGACGTCCGCTTTCAGCTGGTGAACTTCTCCGACAACGAGCTGCGGGTGTCGCTGTCTAACGTCTCGCTGTCGGACGAGGGTCGATATGTTTGCCAGCTCTACACGGACCCCCCACAGGAGGCCTACGCTGACATCACCGTGCTAAGTACAACAGCAAAACACCCTCGCACACACACACACACACACACATTAAGTGTTAGCGGGGGGAAAAAAGGCCTTTTTTAGTAACAATCAGACGGCGTTTGGAACGGAATAAACATGCATGTCATATGTGCTCGCTCGTTAAGTCACAATGTTGTGGTGCTTAAACTAGCTAATATACAGTAGCCAGATTGTATGAATGTAATGATGGAACAACACACACACACAGCTGTTGTATTAACTTTATTATGTGCATAAATCTGCTGTAATGAAGTCTGAATGTTTATTGTAATATGCATGCAAGAAATGTAATGTATATTTAAATTATTATGGGTGGATTCCCTGTTAATAATATTTTTTTTAATCCATTACAAGATTCAGTACTTTCTGAGCCATGAATTATGAATATAACGTTTCCTCAACATGCTTTTTATGGGTTATAATCTTATAGTTATGCACCGTCAGAAATATCAGTCCTGCTCTATAACAACATCATATTATGGGCAAAACATGTGTGGTTACATATGCGGTCAAGCACTAGCATCCATCATCAACCACGTACCTTACTTCATTAATCCAACATCAGGCCCCTCAAAGCTCCTCTCTCCTGGATCATGTAGTGGCCCCCCGTGTTTACAGAGTTTTGTTTGTGCGTCCCGTCGTAGTTCCCCCCGGTAACCCCATCATCGAGGCCCGGGATGAGGTGCTGAGCGAGGGCAATGAGACGGAGATGACCTGCACCGCCATGAGCAGTAAGCCTGCTGCCACCATCCGATGGATGAAGGGGGATAAAGAGCTCCCAGGTAGGTCGGCTCCCGCCGCACATCGGGACATTTCCTGTCTCAACACAATGAGGCCGGTATGCTGTGTGGCCGCCGCCGCCACCGCCACCGTTCCTTTCACGAATATTCACTCATCTGTCTACTTTTTTTGATTTGGGTAACAAAGAATACTTCTGTGCGACACCAACACGCGTTCCAAGAACCGGGGAAAAGAGGCAGAATGATGCGAATACGGTTTCCACCGTTTGTTTGTGTGGATTTAGAAAAAACAAAAAAACATGGTACATACATTCCATTCCACATAAGAGTGCGGAACTGTGTGTTTTCATAATCTTCTGATTATTAATCCTTCCACGTGTTAAACTCCCGCCACTTTAATGTAATTTCTCCCAAGAATTGACAATGCACCTGAAATAACCGGATCCTTCGCCGGTTAACTCCTCCTTTGTGAGTCTAACCAATCCGCTGAAATCAGAGCAGAATCCTTAAAGAACTCCTTAAGAAGTCTTAAAGACCACGGACCAGTGGGTTCCTACCTGGGAATATTAGGAATATTATCTGCAAGGCTATCACGGTTAAACTGAGCATTATGATGGAAGAAATCTAATCATGACTGCAACCAACATGGACCAAACTCAGCCGCTGTCGACACCAGGTGGGCTGCACCGTCTGCTGAGGGAGTAATGGCTTAACCAATAAGACCCAATGCCGCGAGGGGCCGCGCCACACAGCTGCTGGGACGCTCCGAGAGCCGAACCATTCCAGGGATCAACAAGTGTTTGAGATGGATCCCGGAGTCGACGCCAAACGGCGTGTTGCTGCCCACCGGTGGCTCGATGCCCTTTCTGAAGATTTCCTCTGTAAAGCAGGGAAGAAAACACATAAATCTGCCAACACAATTGTTAGTGTACCAACGTTACGCTTGTTTTTGTTGTGTTTCTGAAAACAATTCAGTGAAAATGATTTTTTTTTGCGTTTTTACTTTGGTGCTCCTGTTGAATCCAGGATGCACACAAGCACACGTGGGTTCCCACATTCCTTCGCATGCACGTGTGCATTTTCCACGCCCTTGTGCAATGGGTATAAGCGGACAGTTTCTGGCGTCCCGCATGCGCTGCTCGCGTCGATGCCGTTGCGTTTGAACAGTTCCCATTTAGCCGGCGTGGGTGTGCAGTGGTGGCCACAGTCTGTTGGCACGGCGACAACCTCCAGGCCTTCATCAAAGGGAGCTGAGCTTTAGAAGTGTGAGCAGAGCTCAGGGGTGAACAGGCCTCCTGCCAGGCAGCTCCACCTTGCAGCCCGAGCGGCCAGCTTTGTAAAGACTTTGAAACAAAGGTCCTGATCAGAAGTTGCGTAAAAGGCCCCCGAGCAGCTTCCCCCTCACAGGGGAGCAGCTTTGACCTCCGTGGTCTGCTGAAATCTGAGAATGCTCCAATGTGCCATGGTCAGGGCTGCTCTTACACATAGCCGTTAACACCAGGAAAAAGTCTCAAAATGCTCTTACAATGCTGTGTTTCTGTTGACTAGTTTACTGAATAGCCTATGGTGATGCTGTGGGCACTATTCTTCGAAGCTCCTAAATGTAGCTTTTAAAAAGTTAACGTATCTTTCTTTTGCAAATGCCTTGATTATAGAAACTGTTTTAAACGGCATTTGGAGGATGTCTTTTTCTTTTATGAATTCCCTCCGCAGGTGAAAAAGTGCTGCAGAAGAATTGCGGAAACACAGCATATCTAAAAGCCAGTCTGAACACACATAGCCTTTGCTAGTTAAACTATATTACTATATATTATATATATTTTTTTAACAGCGTCTTTACTCTGCAGCTGTTACGCCCCTGTAAAAGAGGAAATATGAGCAACGACACGGACACGATGCAGCTCAGTGTCGGCCATAGTTGTAATGAACATGAAAAGCATAATAACACATTTATACACTCAGTACCGCACTTAAACATGTTATTTTCCCTTTGCGGTAATGTCTTTTTAAGAGCTTATACAATTAAGACAAATACAATTCGATCAGTTATGGCTCCATATTACTCAAATGACCTGAACCAGCCTTTAAAGTGAGTTACCAAAATATCAAATATGTTTGCAACATCGTAAAACAACGTGGGAAAATAACCTTGAAAAAAAAGTACAAGACTCTTTCCTTTTCACATTAAACACTCTCTCTTTAGCTTATACGATACTAACACTTTTACCTTATCCTTATAATATAAAACAAATACGCACAGAGAAACCGGCACTTGCGGTGTTCTATTACGTCCCGCTTTGAGCCCAGCCCACGGGCTACGCCACGTGCTACACAGCTAGCATGCACGCTACACTAGATGAACACTTCTTCACGTTTAGACTGCTAGATGATTACCATCATTAACATCTACTCCCGCATGTTTCTTACAGTATTGAAACACATATATACATTGATCAACCCTAATACAACACTCGTTCTTACCTGTAAAAGAGGAAATATGACATACGACACGGACACGATGCAGCTCAGTGTCGGCCATACTTGTAATGAACGACCCTACGCCACATGCTCCGTTCATAGGCAAAACGAGGCATTAGCAATCGCTCACAGATCGTCCCTGAATGAGGCATTAGCAATCAATCTAATTGCACTGATACCTAAACTTAAAGTGAAACTTAAACCACCGAACAATGAATCACTGATCTACAGACCATTAGTGCCTTTTAACTTTTACCTTTTTATGAACATTTTAAGTATATTTTAGCTTATATTAACCCATTCAATGCAACAATAATACATCATTTTTATCATCCTTACACAGCCACCATCTGAAAGGAATCCTGCTGTTGCTCCGCTGGAAGTGAAAGAATAGAGTCCTGATACCAGCAAAGAATGACTTAAATTATGTTTCGCTGTGGCTTCGTGCCTAGAAGACTTGTTTCCAATTAAACGTCCCCAGAATTTGACTTAACTACCTGGAGAGATAACCAGGCTCGCTTACTGTAAATATCATTTAAAGGTTGCAATTACCATACTTGTAAATCCAAACATCTCTCCTAATAAACGCAGGCCCATAATCTCACCTTTTCTTTTACTGTTATCACGTTGCTTGATTTATAAGTCATAAAGAGAGTGGGTTATTGCAGTGAAGGGTGTAGCTGTGGAGGTCATTCTCTTCTCTTTAATACAAAAGAACAGAAGCAGAGCCGGTAGGTGGAGCAAATTATTGACTAACAGGCGCCAGAACAGCCCAAAAAAAAAAAAAAAAAACCCACAATGTCGATCAATCACCCCACTCGTCCCCCGCAGGAAGACTCCACAAGTGGATGAAAGAATGTTTCTGTCAAAGAAAAGCGGTTGAAGTGAATGGACTGAACTTCACCCGACCCCTTTACTGCTCCACAAGAATGTGGTAAGACAATAAGGGTGAAAGGGGAGAGAGTAAGGCCACCCGAGGATGTCTGTTAAGGTCTACAGAACACTTAGTACCACCTGACCTTCCGCTGCCTGCTCTCTTAGTCCTCGACGCAGAATGACTGGAGCTTTCACTAATTCGATTTTAATGCACACAAAGAGCTTTTATATCTGTGTTCCGTTGAAGTCACATCATCGCCAACTCCTTGATAGTTTTACAGCATTAAAGATAAAAACCAAGGCGTCGCGCATTAACTGCATAAGTCCATTGCCACTTTCCTTTTTTCCTGGTCATAGCTGAGCTCTGCAAACAGTCACTGTGTTGCCAAGTCCCCCCCCCCCCCCTTTTTCTCTGAGGCTTAATGCATATGCCGCTTTGTGGGTTTGCCTTACGTCAAGGCTAAAGGGCGATCCACATACTGCCGCGTCATGTGATCGTCGCCACGCGTGGTATCTGGGGAGGATCCTCCAGCAGCAATCTGCATAGACGTTGCATGATGCCTCCGCAGAGTGGGCTTCAGTAGGACACCGTCGGTGGGGCTGTGTGGATGCATGGAGCGTGTTTCCCTTAAGAGCTACATTGTTTCTTCCCGAACACATTTGATGGAGTTAGCTCCGGTGTCCCTGTCTCTGGATAACTGTCCCCGCGGCCGCCCTCCGGGCCGGGGGGGGGTTTGCTTGTGTTGTCTATTCGTGGTGTGGAGCTAAAGGCTGCCATGTGGTCATGTGATGACACCTCCACCCAGACTGATTTCAGTCTCCTTCATAGTTCCATGACAGCAGTGTGCAGAGGCATTTGTCATCTCGGGGTGATATGCTTCCTATGCAAATGGAACCAGTCATCGTTGATGGTAAAGGGTGAGAAGGCGCTGCAAGAATTAAGACTTCTCTCAACCACATTCCCCTTTATGGTACCATTTGTTATTTTTACATGTCTTCCATAGTAAGCAGTCCCAAACCCACCAACACTTTTACAATAAATTCCTTAGGTGTAAAGAAAGCGATCCAGAGACGGGACTTGAATGGAGACGTCTCCTCACTGCTGTTCCATGCATATCAAAAGACATTTTGATTTGAGCAGGCCCCGTCACGTTCTCGTTTCAGGTGCTTTCACTTTCATCTGAAGCCTCTCGTGGTATTTATTCACTCCTTTACAACAGGCGCATCACACGGCGCTGCTTCCCCATCAGGCTGTCACCGCGGTGACGGCGCTGCAGCACAGGAGCGGATAGGATGTGTGCATATTTTGCAGCTGAAATGCAAAAGGATTGATGCAACTACTCACATTAAGAGCAATTTTCTCTCTGTAGCATATTTTCTAGGCAGCCTCTTTTTCCTTTCCTTTGCTTGTTTTATTGACGCGACACAAACACACACGTGTGCAACAGACTGTTGGGAAGTAGGACAAAGGGGCACATACAATCAATCTGTGTTTGTGGCTCCGCAGTGAAGCGCTGTCTCCAGCTCCCCCTCTTCTTTTGCATGGGCGCGATGAGGTATCCTCTTCATTCCATACTGTCTGTGTGATATCACAGAGCAGCCGGAGGGGGGGGGGGGTTACTTTGCGGGCTTCAGAGCTGCGCCAAAGGTGGCCACGCAATAAATCTGGCTCCTTAAAACCTAATGAGTGATTCACAGTCGCACAGCAGCCGCTGACAGCAGGCAATTGTTAGCTGATTCACCTTCTCTGACCATCCTCAAGGACGCCCTCCTTATTTCCACTTTCCATATTGTGTGAGGTCAGCGAAAGGAAGACGTTTCAGCCACACAATGGCCGTGTTTATCAGCATTTTGCCTCGCAGCCGTGAAGGTTTCAGTTTTGTTATTTTCCCAAGTAAAACGTAGCAGTCGGACCCTTCTAACTAAACTAGTTTTTTTTTTACATAGTGCTCCCAGAGGAACCAAGGCTGCATGAAAAAAAAACAGTTTTTGCAAGTTCCGAAGAAAACACCAAATATGAGCCTTTGGTAATATTTTTATTAAGCAATAAGGTACGAAAGGCTGTACTTTATCGTCCAATAATGTAAAAGTTTGAGGGTGTTGTTGGCCAACCCTTCAACTGTTATAAAGCATAAAGATAAAGTACTGCCTCAAGTACCTTATTGCTTTTATAATACGGTTTTCAGAAAAATTATGAATAGTAAGTAAGTAGCTGCCTTTCAGCACAAAATAGTATAGCCTACGTTGTGTATCGCATTTCAGTAGCTTAGAGGAAATAGTCCCTGTGCGTGTGGCTAAACAGGGAAGCAGCGCTGGGAACGTTGCGTTTGTTAGCCTAGCGCCAGAAGTTGCTTGATGATTAGCTAGGAGATCGACATTCGTTTGTGCGTTGTCTGAAATCCCCGGTCTCCTTGCAAGATCTCGCACCATCTCATTCACTCACATCACTCATGGCGGCCCACCTTGATGGTCCGGTTGCAAAAAGCCCGCATTGCATTGAAACCGGTTATTTGCGGCGTTTCCTGTCTTTTTTCGCCACCGAGCTAAAAAACTGAAACGTCAACTAACGGAAGAAAAAAATCTAACCGTTACTTTGAGTGCGCGCTGATATGGAACGCTTGGTACTGTACACATCATCGCTCTATAAAGTACACCCTTTGACTCAATCTCAACCAGTCGGAATCTACCTGTGTTATTAATTATTATAAAATAATAACGGCATGCCAACTTTATTCATATGTTCTAGCGTGATATGATCATGATATGATGGTGGTGATCCCGGTCGCCTCATTGGTTCAAACCCTCCAGCTGGACACTGACTGTGTGAACTCATAGAGGTACAATTGATTGGAGCGCCTGAATTGCCTGTAGGCGTTAATGGTGGTTTGTTCATATTCGTCAATCTTTCACATAGTGAAAACCCGTCACCCATTGTGAGCTGGGATGAGCGCCAAACCCCTGCAGCCCTGCAAAGGACGAGTGGCTATGGGTGGATAGAGATGAGTGTAATGTTTGTACAACTGCCTCCATCTTTTGCAACCTTTGAGTTTTTTAGCACCAGCGTGCCGTAACGCCGCGGTGGCTCGAGCACATCGAGCTTCTAGAGGAAGGCCCGCTGTATTTAGCTGAAAAATAATTGCATGTTCCTTTTCTGTTAATTGCTCCCCTTGAATGTCATAATTGTCATGACATTAAACTGGACTGTCAAACAACAATGGTTAAAAGAAAATGAGCTTTCAGCTCCCGACACTTTCCCTGCACCCTGTTCTTTAAATAACTGTGCAGGCTCCACAATGAGACGCTCGTTCTTATTTCAACTGCGGCCCAAAACGCACACGTGTCGCGGTGTTAAAGTCAGCTTGTTTTTTTGACGTCTCCACCAGGCAAGCCCAAGGTGGAGCTGACCTACGACAAGATGTACACGGTCACCAGCCGGCTGAAGTTCACCGTCAGCAAGGAGGATGATGGTGTCCCAGTGGCTTGCATCGTCGACCACCCTGCGGTGAAGGATTTCCAAGCACAGAAGTACCTGGAGGTTCAGTGTAAGTACTTCTGGTCAGTAATAACTACAAAAATCTGCATGGATGTGTTAAGCTATAATATGCTTGAAAGAGTTTTTCAAGTGTCTAATCAGCTTGGACTAAAAATATGGAGAATAGGGTTGCACACTAATTAATTCGCATAAATTTGCTACTTCTTCCTAAACTGAAAATCTTGTGACATGTGCGGCAGTGTCACGGAGGGGAAATTATCTCGTCGCATAGGTTATAATGAATAAAAGGGTAAAATTGGTCTATTGGACTCTAGATTCTTCCATCTCAACTAATTAAATGACAAACTTTTTCCACCCACCGAAACTTCTTCCATCTCGTTAAAGGGAAACTGAGTGTGAACAATGAAAAGGGGATTCAAACATCTTCCATAGAAATATACTAAAGTACGGCATCAGGTTACTGTGCATCTTTGTAAACGGGAGACTTGTGATCACCCACAGAACCCATTTCCTTATTTCACTCACATGTCTCAGAGGTCGAGCGACCCTCGAGAATATGGCCGAGCAGCGCTTTTGATTACGTGACCCTGAGGACGGTAAATTTGGCCGAGCACAACGGCGTCAGCAAGGACTGCGTGAGGTTAATTGAGGTCAGAGGTCATGTTTTTATTGCTACAATTGTTTCATTCGGCATCAGAAAAGCATCGCGGATGACTATTTGAAAAAGAGGGTCACATGAAAGGTATTCGATAACGGCCTCCCCATGAGGTGGGAAATAAATCTAAACTGACTACTCAGCCACGTGACAAGTCAAACGCAATGCCTTAGTAAAGTGGCGTTCTAGATATTTTCTGCGATGCAAAATAATAAAATGTGTTTTATGCCGCTGTGACCTCACGGCTTTGGCCTCTGTCGTGTCCTAGCGTTCTTTTTTTGTGGGACCCCCCCCCCGACACCAACTGAAATGAATGAATTAATGAATGGTGTTAAAAGTAGTAACAATAGGAGACGGACCTCTTTACACTGCACTGATTCAGACGGGATTATTCGCTTCGTAGGTTGATGTGTTTTTAATGTCGTGTTCTAAATGCTTCGAGCTGTCTAAGGATTCCCCATCTCCATTTGCCTTGTAATTAGTCCCGAATTACATGTACCTTTCCACAAACCTTTTAAGAACCCAGTTACCTATACTTTCCCTTCTATAAAATTATAAACAACGGGGTCCGTAAATTGAAGCTCACTTTTGCTGTCACACACTGTGTTTGTTTACTGATTATACAGATAGAAGAAGTGATTTACATTACAATCACTCACTGTGTGGGCAATTTGTGAGAGGAATGGAGCGCATTGTGTAGCGCAGAAACAACAGAAAGGCCACTGTCAGGGGAAAGCATAATTAAATAAGCCTCTAATGTTTGTGTATAGGCAAAGAAAACTGTTTTGCTCCGTTGCGGGTTGGTTTTCCCTTAAGGTCAGAGATGGATATTGTCTTCCCGAGAGCTTGTGAGGTGAGGAAAACAATAAAGCAAATAATTCAGTTAGCATAATGATATTGGCCTTAGTGCATACTGTAGATCTTACTTCATTTCCACCAAAGTGGCAGTATCCAGATCCGGCTGTGCAGTGTGTGTGTGTGTGTGTGTTTTTTCCATCAAGCAGAGACGAGAAAGCTCCGACATAACGACTTGAGGCTTTCAAAACAACTTACAGAAGCCTAGCGTCCTTCGTGTTTACCGCTCCGAGATGACAAGGTCAGAGGACGTTGCGATCGGAGAAAAAAAAACAAGGCTGCAAGACGCCGCGTTGCGTCTGCAGTGGAAACACAACCAAAGGGTTGCCGTTTAAATGGCGCACGCCCACCGAGCAGAAGACTTGGCTTTTGGCCCATCGGCTGTCCATCACCGCGACTGAAAGTCGGCCGCTGACAGGGTGTGATTTGGACAGATGGATGGCCAGGCCAAGTGTTGTTTGCGGCGGAGAAGGTCGGACGGCGGTGTGAGACTTAACAGCCGGCTTTGAAATCATAACTCAGGCCCTCTGCCTGCAGGCTGATTAAAAACACCAGTAGCGAGCGGCGCATTTAGGCTGTAAAATGGGCAAAAGAACAATCAGAAAAGTCTAATCACACCATTGTAACTCTGCAATCAGTCTGTAGTGAGATGACTCGGGTATTTATCTGGAGCATCTGATCTGTAGGAGTAACAAAATAACCTTGTGTTGTAAACAAGATAAGGCGTAATGTGCTGAAAGCATTCAAGTGTGATCTCCAGGTTAATTAAGCTATTGATATTTTACCTGAAAAAATGTTGGCCGTTATTTCAGACGGCTTCTTGCTGCCGTGGAGCCCTCAGTGACAATAAAGTAAGAAAGTCACTGTTCACAGATCACAGTTTAGAAGAAAACGACACCACCTGGAGATTGAGACACGATGAAGTGAACCAAACAAGACGTCTCCCGTCACCTGGAGTTGGAGCAGGACCTTTGTTGCCCACGTTTCCTCTCAGCCTTAACGCTCGCTGCACGGCTACACTCGACTCAATCCCTAGATTGAATAAAACATTTTCATTTTCCTCCAGAATAAAAAGATCACCTCTCACACGGAGATGAGGAAAAGCTTTGATAACACCAGCAACAGTCACGGGAGTGTGTCGCGGTAGAAACGCCGCGGCAGCACACGGAGGCAGAGAACAGCGCTGACGATCAGAACAACACCCTGAGACGCTTCTTTGCAGCTGCCGCAGATCCTCGACATGTGGCAACTCCGTCGGCCAGAGTCTGCAGACGTGCGCGCGGTCTTCTGCGCGGACGCCGATCGCTCAATGCTACGCTATGAGTAGACCCGACGCGAGCGTTGACCTCGTTCATTCCAAAACTGCTGCGGCAGGTCGTAGTTGTTGTTTTTCTGCCTTATTCTTGTGTTTGTTTTTGTTGTGCTGATGGAAAAACACATGTAAATGTTGTGTTCTTTCTACAAATGTCTATAAATGGTTATGGAAATGATCACATCAATGGCCAACCATTTCTTCATGACATATGTTTCAGTTTCATGAGGTTTTTTGTTGCAAGGATCACAGTGTATTATTTTCTTTAATGCATTATGCTGCGATTAATTAAGTAAATCTATGGGAGAACCACACAAACCTGTGAGTGACCAATCATTGTGCAGGATATGTTACATTAATATGCGCATGATACGTTGGGCGTGATGTTATCAGCTGGGTAATAACACGAGGCGTCGGGCTAGAGCGTCTTTGTCGTACACCCCGGTGAATGTGATTGGACGCTGTTCGTCAGCAGGCAGCCCGATGGAGAGTCTGAAGCCAATCAGCTAATGATTCACTCAACTGTGGCGCTCTGCCTGAACAACGGAGCCTAATGTCTCTCCTGATGGGAAATGAATCCTGCCTGTTTGCCTCGGCTCCTCTTTGGAGGAAACGAGCACAAAGTTTGATAATAGACGAGCTACCAGAAAACACATCACGCCGCAGAGACCACATTTGTGGAAGACGGGCTCGTCTTATATTCCTATCGTACGTTTCAATCCTTCCAACCTTAATGTTTATGAATCCCAATAATAAGATTACTGCAAAGAGGAATTAATGAGAAAGAACATTGTCTGCTACGTGGCCTCAGCCATCAATCACGTGTCTCCGTCTCCTTCCCTTTCAGACAAACCGGAGGTGAAGATCCTGGTCGAGTTCCCTCAGGGTCTCACCAGGGAAGGAGAGAACCTGGAACTGAATTGTCAGGCCAAAGGCAAACCCCAGTACGATACGCACACACACACACACACACACACACACACACACACACACACACACTCTCAACATTAACAGTGGGCCATTGATAGAGAAAAAGTGGCATGTCGAACTGGTTCAAACAAACGATTCAATTGTCTTTCCCATCTTTGTCGAGCAAGAGTTTTGTACAAAAGGCCTTAATTTCCTGGACCAGATGCATCAGCGGTTGGATTCAGTAATTGAAGCAAATAAAAGCCCGGGCTGCTGATTTCTGTTATATGTACTAATGCAGGTAAATGTTGAAGGGAGGAGAACTTTACTCAGACAAAGGGGCCTGTAATTATGAAACACAGATGTTCTTCTACTGGCAGAAAGGGTCGTTGCTGATAGTGAGCGGAATGCGCGCTGAACATCTGAAAGGAGGGATTTTAGCAGCACAAAGGGCCGAGAAGGAAGGTTGAGTCACAAATGAACCTCCAGTGGCCTTCGTCGGTTGTGTGATATTTCCGGCATAAGAATCCGCAAGCTGCTGTTTGACACCCATTAGGTTGTTATTTCTCAAGCATCTGTAAACAAGGTTGTGTTTTGTTGAGACGGTATTTGCCTTTGGAGGCGTAATGGAATGCAAAAGAAGCCATTAGGGTCCCTGATGGGTGAGTGACGGAGGCAGTTCTCCGTGTCTCAGGCACGAGCCCGACTGTCCAAACATCGGCGCAAATGTGCTGTCGGCATCAGTCGTATTAGCTTGTTGACACGGTAGTTCAAATTTGAACGGGACAAACTGTTCATCAGGTGAGGGCCGGAGCTGTGCGTATTTTCACCTCAAACGATCATGTGACCAACGTGCAGGTGGTTTCAGTGAAGATCTATTCGCGTCCTTCGCTGGGGCCGGTCCTTTTTCTCATGCCTTCCCCCGGCTGTCGACGGCACTGGAGGCCTCCGCCATCCACCTGCACCCCTGAAGTTTTCACACTTGGCCCAGAGACAAGCTAACTACCCATATTCATTTTATAAAGATGAAAACACAATCAATACAGTGAGCCGATCGCAGGAAGTCAGATAGAGCCCGCGAGGTGGCAGTCATACCAAGCGATGCACAGGAGACCATTTGTATTCCAGACGCCTGCCGTTCTCCTCCGCTTGCAGCTCCATCTCACCTCTTTCGTCTATCTTTGTGAGAAGGGGAGGGAGTTCTCACTCTCCCCCCTTCTCACGACATCCTATCTATACTTCTTCTTCTTTTTTTTTTAGGTCACGCCTCTCACCCCTTCTCATTTAAATGTTTACCGGTTATTTACATTTCATTTGGAGAGTAAAAGACGCACTCTCTCCCAGGCATCCCCCACCCTCCCCCCCCTCCTCCCCCCTTGCATATGGTTTGTCTGCTTTTGTTATTGAGCTCAAACACCCATTTCATATTTTCTTGTCATTTTTTTCCACATCATCTTCTTTCCCCCAGTCCTATTTGCTTTGCTCCCCCCTTCACTCCAGCTGTTTGCAAATGGAGGGAAACAAGTTAAAGCATCACAAAGCAACAAGAGAGACCCTCGGCGCGCGCGCTCGCGGGAAATAACGGTCGCTGGCAGCGGCCATTGGAAGGAGCAGGAAGCAAAATGGAGGCGTTTTGTCTTCTCTTTTCCCCTCTTCCCCCTCCGTGGCTCCGAGCTCATTGTCATGAAAATGGAATCTGTCACCGCGACAGAAACCTCAGTCAAGGTAGAGAACGGAACAAATGGCCACACTTGAGTGGCTGCCTCCTACACGGCAACGCGGCGCTACAAGTGTGAAACGCCGGCAATCTGAGAACAAAGCTGCTTTGCGGTTATTGTTGCTTTTAGCTGTGCACAACAGGCAGAATGTGCTTTTTGTAAGATACACTGTAAAGGACACATTTTTCTTTCGAAGGTGCAAGAGAAAAGAATTCAGAAAGACTTGAAGGACAAACGCTTGTTCTTGATCAACGGGATGATCAGATAATCCGTCGCTTCCACTCTCAGTTTTCACCGTTGGCCACATCCACAAGATCCACCCGGTGCTCTGCTCTTCATTTCAGGCCACAGCGGGTGAACTGGGTGAAGGTGGACGACGACGTGCCGTCTCACGCCGTCATCACCGGAGGGGATCTTTACATCGAAAACCTAAACAAGTCCTACAACGGAACCTACCGCTGTGTGGCCTCCAACACGGTGGGGGAGTCTTTCGACGACTACATCCTCTACGTCTACGGTACGCAACACTGATCCTACGCCGCCTCGCTTTCTCTCTTCCTACCTGCAGCAGTGCACGTTTAACCCCTATTGGTCTGGATCCAAAAGTCTACTCGGATCCAGACCAGAAGACAACAAGAGAGAAATAAGATCAAGACCAACCTGTGTTGGTCTATGATAACCATGCGAGCTCAATGTCATGATTACTCAAACTGGATTTCATTTCTTCTTCCCGCCGGCGCCCATAGAAACACACCAAGAGCAACACACTAAGAGCAACACACTAAGAGCAACACACCACGAGCAACACACCAAGAGCAACACACCAAGAGCAACACACTAAGAGCAACACACCACGAGCAACACACCAAGAGCAACACACCACGAGCAACACACCAAGAGCAACACACCAAGAGCAACACACCAAGAGCAACACACTAAGAGCAACACACCACGAGCAACACACCACGAGCAACACACCAAGAGCAACACACTAAGAGCAACACACCACGAGCAACACACCACGAGCAACACACCAAGAGCAACACACCAAGAGCAACGCTGCGCCTTGACACGTTTTGAACACGCTGCTATTTTTTGATGCAGGAGAGAAGGTCATGTCCTCCGTGTTGTTCCTCTCTCTGCGTGGTTTGTGAAATATTTTAGACCAGAAGTAAAGTTTGCATTCCTCATTTCACATTTTGATGAAGATTTTAAGGGAAATTGATCAGGTGATTTGTTTTCAGCCAGATAAATTGCGAAAAGTGCCTCGAAATTACATTACATCACATTTCTCACGTGAAAAACAACATTTACAGAGTTTTTTTCCGAGTTGGTTAGTCAAACATCTCTGGGGCCTGCGTTCAATTGGGAAAACCTCGCAAGCATAAGTGACCGTCACGGTTTGAGGCTATTAACTTTTATTATGCTTTTGAAGGGGAGTGAGTGAAGGTAATCAGCAGTGGGTTTCTTACTAAACGTAAACCCGATCTCACCCCATTGAGTCCTCGGATTTCATCTTCGTGCAGCCAATCACTGCAGTCGTATCAGACACGTCAACGCGGAAATATACGAGCGGGCAGCTGGTCTGTCAATGCTACCAGCACTGACACAGGCAACAGATTTCACCCTGGGGGAGGGACATGGCTTCTCTCCGCAGCAAGAGCAGCGGCAAATAGCTTGTCTGTGCCGTACATTTACTTATACGTATATAAATATACGTTCTTTGCTATTTAATATTACTTTAATGGTACTGTTGGTGATATTTGCGTTACACAATACTGCAAAAAGTGATTTACCAGCTGTGCAGCATACAACCTCTTCTGTTCTCAGACCCATTGCAGTGGGAACCACCATCCGCATAGTGTAAACCATCTCAGTAATTGCGTTTAGAACCACAACCCAGCTGTGGATCAATAGACACGGTGGTGTCAGGTGATCCTGAACATGCCTCCGCCCACCTCTGCCAGGTTTATTCGATTTAGCCTCCTGCTGCTGGAGCTCCCTGGAGTCTTTTGTAATGTTGTTTTCTTTCTTCCTCATAAGCATTATCTTACCATGCTATTATACTGCTGATTGCGGTCACATGTCCTCCCTAGGTGGGGCATAAAACTCTAATGTGCTCGTTTTCCCTGGCAAAATCTACTTCACCTTCACTTTTGGTAGACCCCGAGCCCGCGGGGAAGTTGTGTTATTGTCCGAGAGAATTAGCAGAGTGAAAGGCCTCTCTTTCATGTAAGGGGGGGCGGGGGGAGGACTCCCAATGGCTGATGGATGCCAGCTGAATGGACGTTATTTACAGCGGAGCGCGTGGCTGTGCTAATGATACGTGCAATAAAACAACAGAGGTGTTGTTGAAAAGCAGGAAACAGCCTACTGCCCCCTGCTATGTTACAGCTGTTAGTCAATACTAACAGCACACTGTAAGCCTCTTTGTGTGTCTGTGCGTGCGTGTGTGTGTGTGTGTGTGTGTCAGTTCTCTCTCACCAATTGGCGAGCTGACAGAAATGTAAATGATCTACGTGAATATGCGGCGCTGTGTGACATGTGATCTTGACACACGGATCTTCAGATTAAAGAATTTTCCAGGACTGAAATCATTTGTTTTGCAATTCAGCAACGCGATTCGGGTCGAGTAACTTTAATAAGTGTTTCTCATTTAATGATGGTTAAGGGATTGGACCTGGAATATTAAAATGAGAAGAGAGACAGTACGGTAAGACAAAGTGTGTGTGTGTGTTTGTGTGTGTGTGCATTTCTAATCAGATCAACAACAAGACAAGAGCAATTATTTTACATGCAGCCTTATTGATGCTCACCTCTGTACTTTCATTATCCACTACTTTGCGTGACCGTGACAATGTTCTGGTAATTGTTGCAGGCTTTTTCTGATCACTCTCCCCTGGGCTGATACACCCTAATGCCATAGTGAGGGATGCAAGATCTCCCCTCTCAACTGCCCACGCATCCCCCCGCACTGAGAGAGGCTCACACATAAACGCGGTAATGCAACATGTGGGCAACTAAAAGCCTTGCGCCCAAAAAAAAAAGAAAAAAAAAAGAAAACAGCAGCAGCCATTAAAAGCACAGAAGGTCTCCATCCTTTTGCAGCTGGTTCTTTTGATGACTTTGATGTGTCCGGGGCTCCCTCACCACTAATGTCCACTGCAATTCAACAGCGAATGCAACGTGGAACCTTCGCCTTGCTAATGGGAAGACAGGATGTTGTGGCCGGAGTGTCAGAAGCTGAACCTTCTGGCGGACCCCCCACCGCCACACACACACACACACACACACACACACACACACACACACATGCACGACACACACAACACACGCCTTGCACACAGCTATTCAGTCGACCCGAAAAAACAAAACCGTATTGAGACGGACCAGGACATGTAATTAGGAGAGAATCCGGCCATTTTTCAAAATAAATTATTTTTCAGGAAAAGAAACTGACATGAAAAAAATTGTAAAGTTTATAACTAATAATTGTTTCTTTCTTTTACGCGGCCCGGCGGTTCACTTTAGAGTGGAGTTGTCCTGCCCTTTGTATTTAAGCATCATCCCGCACTACATCTGGCATTTTATTAACCCCAAAAAATCTCCTTCAAATGCGGCGAGTAAGGAGAAGACAACTCTGATCTCTCTGAACGTTAGAATCCCTCCCTTAATGCACCACGATGCCCCAAAAAGCATCTTGAAATGAGTGTTTTTTTCCCGTTTTCTATGGCGTTAAGAAGAAAGACATTTTCTTTTATTAAAGGTAAAAATGCACCACACCATCAGCCCTGGATCCCAAGCTGTACATTGCAGCTGTGTAAAAGGATGATGTCGCCTCTCCGCCCCTCCTCCTCCTCCCGCCCGCCACACAGCCACAAACAAATGCAGCTATGGCCGCCATCTCTTCTAATGCATCAGATTCTCCAGTATTGTGACCCTAAGTGATGGAGAGCACCGTGAGACCGGCTGACACTAACAATGTTAACAGCAGAAAGAATGCAGTCCGCGGCGCTCCAGCTCGCTCTGCCGCTCGTACTTCACAGGGTGAGAAAACACAACCGCCGGGGTTCTGCTCCTCTCGCCGTCGAGTGAGACCCGGCGCCGAGGGGTTTTAAGTTGTTTAGCGGCTGCCGCTTACCCAATAAGGGAGGTCTGCTTCTCCCTGCTCCTCCAGCAGCACGTTTAGTGACCCCCCGCTGCACTCAGTCCTCCTCCTTCATACTTCTTCTACACTTCTTCTCCATTAAAACAAAATGGGAATTCTCTCCACAAATCACTGTTGGCTCTCTAAGTGGCTTCCAACGATTCTTCGCGAGGAGCAAAGTGTACCAAAACATCCCATTCGGGCTGCAAGCGCTCTTAGTTTGCTGAAATTGCACTTGAGTGGAAGCGAAATTTCTGGTGTGAAATGCGACGAGGGGGGAAAAGTAATTCATCACCTCCAAAGCAAATTCAAGGGAAATTCTGTCATTTTGAATCCCAGCATTCATTTCCCGCTCCCCCACCCCCCCGCTCTGTGGAGGCTGTATTTTACACTTTTTTTCTTTACATTTCTTTCCTACACATGGAGACTGACCCCTCGGCCTCGAGTTTGTTATCTGAAGCTGAAAGCCTTTTGAACGGTTTGGTGTCCTTCTTCAAAGATCTGCGATAGACATGAGGCCCAACTATCTACTCACACAGCAGAGCCTCATTCATTCTGAAACAGGGAGCCGATCGAGAGCATTTGAGTGATAAGTTTGACTTCACGTTAGTTCTTTGTATCGTCTCTCTGGAAAGATGAAAGGCAAGAGTTGTAAGACAAACACACAATAGGCTCTTTCACTTTCCGGGGCCGAGGACACCGCCTGGAGGGGCCAAGGAAGAACGTACCCGAGCAAAACACCGGAGGATTGTCAGAAATACACCATAGATAAGCGCCGCAGGGCTAAGAGACGCTAAATGGGACACAAAGCAGCAAATCAATATTACAGTCAGATGTTGTAGAAGGTCAAACACCCCAATGAAGCTTGGAAACATGAAAGCTAAAAGCGATAGAAAAAGACGTCCTGATGAGCACTTCACACGGGAACGTCTACCAGGGCTTCAGAGCACGATGAATCTCCAATGCTGTCCTTCAAACCTGTACGTTATTTCTGACATTACTGTGCGATCACAATCGAAGCACGCTATCTCCTCTTGCAGAGTCTTTCTCTGTTTATCCCATTTTTTTTGTTTTCAGAAAACCTGAAGCCACATTTCGACTTTCCAGAGGTCAAACACTTATTGGCATTCAACATATTGGTTTTTTTTTAACTAGAACGTTTAAATACTATACTATGTTTTACTCTCATTCCCAAAGGCTGACAGTTACCACTATTATAAATTCTGATGATAATAATAATAATCTTCTCATAATTGTATACAAAAGGCTGTACTGCATTAAACTGTAATGCAACACTATACTATACAATACTACACCCTACTATAGTCCAATGCGCTGTGGATCTGACGTACCCTACTGTGCTGTACCTCACTTATTCCCATGTATAATAATCAACTCTTTCAGGTTTAATATTGCTCGGTCTGCTTACCGGCACTGTGCAGACTGTGCAGACCTGCCGTTGCTGTTCTCACATCGACTTATTTAACTTCAACTGGGAATGATTCCTGTCAGGCTCCATCCCGGAGCCTCCTGCAGGCCCGCTCCACTCATTCAGAGCAGAAACGCAGATCCGTGAGCTTCATCAGTGGCTCAGCGGGAAAGAAAAGCACATTCGTGCCTGTCGCATCCGCGAGTCAACAAGCTCCGGTGTCCTTTGATACGTTGCACCAGGTGGTCACAAAAAGGAAAATATAGTGTACGTTCAGACAGTCCTTCTTTTCATCTTTAATTATCATTTTTTGGACTGCTACTGTTTTAATGAGATGCTGACACTGATGATCCCAAACATCTGCTGGACCCTCACATTCAATAATGGGATAAAAAGCAATTAGACGGCGCCACCCTGGAGCTGGAGTCGTGGCTCTCAAGCATGTGTGAAACTCATCAGCTCAAGCTTCATCTGCCAGCAGACTTCCCAATGGATCCCCCCCCCCCCCAGCACGTTGTTGTGTACAGACCCTTTGTATTATCAAGGTTGACTTAAAAAATTGAATTGATGGTAGATAAAAAAATATGCCGCACAGCAACCAGTGGGATACTGATCGTGATCACCCGAAGGCCTTCATTAGCATTTAAAAATGTGCTGCAGGCAAAGTTATCACGGACCTCTCTGCCTGTTATTTGAATTGGTGAATTTCTTTTTATAAATTTCATAAAATTGTCAAGGGATATGTCAAGTAACCATTTCTTCCGTCGGAGAAGATTCCTTTTCAACGATAATCTCTGTAACCTTAGGGAAGACATCCTGCTCGAGGGGCCAGTTCACTTTTATTATCTCTTTCTGGATGTATTGCAGTTTGAATTCAGCGATGTCTTCGTGGAAATACCTTTACTTGAACATCTCGTTGTGCGCTCAGATTTGCAATAACCATAAATGTGACTTATGACCGAGAGGCACACGGGGGTGCAGAGAAGTGGAGCAAGACACAAAGGTTCCAGAAACGGTGGTTCCCCAAAAAAAGCCTCTTGAAGTTGCCTCCAAAGGCGACTCCACCCGCATTGAACTCTATGTCCTACATGACAGAATAAATTAACATGTTAAAACTACGAACGTTGAATGTGGAAATGGTGCGAATTTAAAACAAACAAGGGCATTTCATCTCATGTCTCAAGCGTCACCATTAGCAAACGCTATCAATGGCAAACCAGCAACAAGTGGTTTTATTGTTAAAAAAAATCGCCCTCTCGGCCTTTTGTGGTTGGCCCACCTTTTATTGATGCTAGTTAAAATGTTATTTATAGATATTTTTGGGGGAAGGAATAACACCGTCACTATTCTCATCTGCACCGTGTTCCTCTTTATAGCTCCTCGTCTTGTGCGTCCAATAAACTGCAACAAAGCTTCCGTCCACCATCACAACCAATGTGATCGCTTGTAACTGCTAAAAACTGCACCTCTCCTGTCTGCCGCACATCAATCTCCTCCCCGTTCTTGGCCCAAACGCCTCCAGCGCCTCTTTACAATGCAGAATGTCCGTGCAGATTAGGTGCAGACCTGCCTTCCTCCCGTATCAACGGCTGGAAACACACTTTTTCACAACATTTCAATAACCCCAAAACCTTGTAGGTTCCATTCCCAGGCAATCAGAGCAGAAAGAGGAGGCCTTTTACAAAGCGCCCACGCCAGCGGCGTCATATCAGTGCAGCACGGCCACCTCAACAAGGGAAATGTCACTTTTGATACCCCTCCCCTCCCGGTCATTGTCGGGCTGGGGAGTCCAACCTGGATAATGAAGTGAAGGCTGTGGGAGCAAAAATGCTCTCCAGTCAAAGTTTGTGTACTCAACAACCCGGCCTGACGCGGTTCATTTACTTTCGGCCCGCGGCCGCAGGCGCGATGTGTGCGTCCGTCTACCCGCTCCGTTCCCGGTGAGCGGGACGCCTCGGGGATGCTGGGAGGGAATCTCTTCAAACTTGATACAAACATCCGAGTGAAAATCAATGAGGAGCCGGTTGGGTTTTGGAGGGTCAAAAGTCAGAAGGTCACCGTGAGCTCCAATCTTCTGATCGCCACGTCTCAGGAAGGCCGGCGGCGAAACTCGCCTTCAAGGCTGAGCTGGTTAGGATTTGCTGGTCAAAGGTCAATGTGACCTCACGAAACTCAAGAATGAATCAATTTCACGCCAATGACTCGTGGGATCACATGATGGAGGCATTGCAGTTTGGATGTAAATCACTTGACCAATAAACAGCCAGGTAGTAATTCATCCGTTCTTTTGCCCATTTGTTTTGTGTGCTTGTTATTTCCCTCCTGTTGTATGTGCACCGCCATTTATTGTGTCATCCTGTTTGACTTTTTACTTTTTCGTTTTAGCCTTTTTTCTGTTGCCAGTATCCTCACCAACTTTGTTCCTGGATCTCCTTTGAGATATTAAGAATGCACAGACACGTTTGTTGCTCAAGACATCTCGCTGCATAACAATGACAGCATAAGTACTACACCAGCATGTGTTACCCATTAGACATTTAATCACTTTTAACAACCATGTGCTCGCAAGCTTTGTCAGTATTTCATGTCAAAAAGCAAGGAGCTCCCAACAAGTCTTTCATCGTCTCAGTCGGTGTGTGAGACCACATGATGTGTTGCGTTGTCATCATTGTGTGTACAATATTTAATGCACTGCCATTACCAATCCATCAGAAGGTCTGCAGCCAGCCTTTGACTCTCTCACACACACACACACACACACATACACACACACACTCTGAAGCACATTGAGCTGTTGGTGATATATCAAACAAAGATACCATCGCTTCACAGTGACTTTACTTTATCTTCACGGCTTTTATACTCATTTGTTTCCCCCCTGTGTTTGCATTGTATTTGTCCTTTCATCCAGATGCTCCCACCACTACCCCTATACCCACCACAGCCACCACCACCACCACCATCACCACCATCTCCTACCCTGAAGCCAATCAAGGTACAGTATCACCCTCCCACTATCTTTAAGTGTGTGTGTGTGTGTGTGTGTGTGTGTGTGTGTGTGTGTGCGCGCTTTGTTATTCCCCGCACAGCCTTCAATCACTCCATGTATCTCCATCCTCATGAGTTCCTTTAACGATGGGTTAAAATCAGTTTCTGGCGTCATTCACCGTTTTTGACTGCTTTTCTGATGCTTTTTTTAACAAGAGGAGGATAAAAAAATACTCCAGCCTCATCCCTAAAAGTCCTCTAAACCATGTATAGAACTAGAAGTGTTTACGGGTGTTTTTTGATGGAGAGGACAAATAATGGGCCACGGTGCCTTTCTCCTCTCACGGCAACCCGCTGCCTTTGTTCCCCAAATCACAACAGGGTCTCACAACAGGTTGGACCTTTTCTCCAACCAAACTGCAAACCTCTCCATCACACAAGAAATGCATTTCCTTTACGGTTGTAAACAGCAGTGTGACATGAAAGTAGGAGAAGAACAACAAATAGAAGGCCGTGAAACTATGAAGCACGGAGGCTGGATTGACGGCGGTAATTATAAGGGTTTGACGATTATTTTATAATATTCAGTCGCTGAAGACACGAAATGATGATGAAATGCATCGTAGATGATGGAAGGTGGGTTCTTGACGGAGGGCGGCAGTGAGGATGAGCAATAACTCAACAGCTGCACTTTAAAATTAGGCCCCTTTTGGAAATTGGCAAATTCGATCGTGCTCTCACAGAAACACAACTCGGGGCTGTTGTGAGCGTAAATCTCCAAAGGGTAAAGATAGAAAACATCACCTCAGGCCTCGAGTCAGAAATCAGCCTGAGCCCCCGAATGCAATCACAGCCGCTGTGACAGACCGCTCAATTGGAACAAATCTCACGGCGCTGGCAGAAATCACAGGCATTGTTCTTGATTATGCCATCTGATTGGATTAAAGAGAATACCTATCTATATGCAGTATGATTGATAGCTCCTTTGCCTCAGATCAAGGAGTCGGGAATCCGCACGAGCCTGATTATTTCTATTTTAACTGACGCTGATTATTGATAATGTTCCTGCTGCGGATTAAAAGTTACTTTAAAGTTAATAATAACACCAGTATTTCCTTAAGGTTAGTGAATTAGGCAATAAATAAAAATGAGATGATTTTTTAGCTTAAGAAAATAATAAAGTCAAAAACAAACTAGTTTACAATTGGAAAAGAAAAGTTGAATTCATAAGAAATTAATAGCCAGAAGCCTTTACGCGTTTAAGCGTTTACAGCTTTTAAAACCATCAAAACAGACGAGTCCGTCCCGGCACCCGACCTCCGTCCGCCCCGTCAGCGCTGTCATCACCGTGAGAGGCCATTGAAATGCTCACAATCTTGGATCTCGCATGGTGCCCCTTGGATTATTTCCTTTTTTATTGTAGTAGTAGCATCCGGCATCCGGCACGGAGGCCGCTGTTCATCGGAGGTTCATCGTCTCAGTTTGACTTCTTCAATTTGCAAAACAGATTAACAAAGTAAACTGGGAACACTTAATATGATGTCAATGTCTTAATGTGTTGTAGATTATAAATCAAATTATAAACAATCATTGCTTTTTAAGGATCATTGTGTATCACAGGTTCCTTTATTTTAAGCATTGTACTCCTTTTATGATGCATTATGTATTATTATATGATTATAAACGACTAAGTGGAGCTTTAAGTAAAGTGAAAATGATTGTTAAATAGCTCGCGTGATTTCACTACTCTAATCGAATTCATAATCACATTATTGTGCATTACTGTGGGGATTAAAACACACTATGATGCTCAATGAGTGACCAGCATACCAACAGTAGAAAAGGGGCTTCATTTCTGTGAAAACGTGCATGCCAATGAAATAACGCTGGCTTTCTTCTCTGCACCCACGTCCACCCGTAATGACGGAGTAAGACCAGATGGAGCCGAGGATTGTGTACAGAGTGCTGGCGGAGTTATTTCAGGCGCCGGCGAACACGATTGCGTTGAGATGTGCGGACTCCACACCCGATAAAGCAAACCTCGCGTCTTCAGCCGCAACATTTTCAGGTTCAAATAACCCACTAACGGTCCTCTTCCAGATGTTTTCCCTTTGCCTTCCGCCGTCAGAGGAATTCCATTATAACTGTGCGCATAGAGGGAAGGCAGACTCATATGGCCATAATTCGCTGTGCCAGTTGATTTCATTCTCCCACATCGTCCGCCCACCGCCAAATGAATCCATCAGAGTGGGATTGAGATTTTCTTTTTCTATCAGTTACCCGTTAAAGGGACAGAACAGAGCACTTTAAAACAATCTATTAGTGGCCCAACACTTAAGTGCTCGGCCGGGTTCATGCGGAAATGACAATTACTGTTTCACTACTAAATACATTTCTTTATTGAGATGTCTTGCAGACCGACTCCTACAATTAGTAGAAAATAATAATTGCAATTATACAGTCTACTTAATTTTTCAGGGAAGTGAATGTCGCGTGTGTCTCCTTTGTCACGTTGACTATTTGCTCTGTGTTCTTTCTGTTTTTCTGCCATTTCTGTGTGAGCTGGGGGGGGGAGCTTTCGTTGAAAGGCAACATTTTAGGCTGCACGTTTAGGCTGCACACGTTCCTCGGGGGCTGCAGTCTTTTGCTCTGGTAGCAGTCGGGGGGCCAAAAGGAGGTCTTCTGTCAAACGCACACCCAAAAGCACAAATGCACTGACATCTTTTCCAGGGATCCTATTCTCCTCCCTCCCACATGTTCTGGCTTTATCATTACCGCATCGCTCTCATCCGCACAATATGAATCACTGTTCCCTAATTCAACACATCGGACTGTGCCGCCACTTAAACCCTAAAAGGAAGGAAAATAATAAATGTGTGCCTTGTGCAAATAAAGCCGCTCCCCCACACTAGCATTACGTTTAACTGATGAAAGACCATAAGCGGTGCTGACAACTCATTAATTTAAACCACAGAACAACAAAACAAACAGCGAGCAGGGAAGAGAAACAAATATCTATTGCTTTTGTCTGGGTCTTAAATCACATCAACACCATCTGGCGAAGTGACGAGAATTTGATGAATTCAGAAGTGTTTGCGCCCCACATCATCCGGACCGACACGTGCGCACATTGTGCCAGATAATGTGTGATATTGTTCCCACTTTGCTCAGATTGATTTCTTGTCTTTGTCGTAAAATTGGTGCAGCCGGCCGTAACTAATTTGATTAAGGTCAATGGAAACATGACGCGCGACACGGAAAGAGCGTCGGCGATGTAACCGCATTCGGCATCGTGGAAAGTCCCGAGAGCAGCGGGGCTTCTTAACATGGACGTTCAGAGGCATGAAAGGAGACGGAGGAGGTGATCAGCTAGCGGCACGGTATCTGAAAAAGACCATTTGACTCCGTGCAAATACTTATAATTAGGGCACCTCACGGCGTCTAGACTGCATGGAGTGTGTTAAAGTGCTAAATTGTACCGTTACCACCTCCTTTGCTGAAAACTGAAGCCAACCCTGAAGTGACAGGAACTGCAGAGCCATCAATCCCCATTAACCCCCCCCCTTCCATGTTAAAATGACCTAGTTTGTTTACAGCCTGGTACAAAAAAACTACAGGTAATATTCTGGTTTGTGAATGCACAAATGGGGAATTGTAATTGTATTATAGTGTTCCCCCTTATAGGTTTACAGCTTGGGGGGTTAGGGGCTATTTAGACAGTATCTTAAGGTTTTCCTCAGTCCGAATTTTAATGTATGAACAGTGTGCAACAAAAACGGTTCATCCGGAATGCTGTTTAGTTCTCAGGATTCAGGAATAAAGTTCCTTTCTTATTTTAACAACATTCAACAATTGTCACAGGGCGAAATCTGTCGTTGGGGAAAACAGACGGGGTGCCCGTTTCATCAACGGAGCACAGTGGGAGAAGGCGAAACGATGTAGGAAATTGTGTAGGAAACCACAAACAAAAAGCCGGAGTCGCGAAAGTGGATCCGACAAAAAAGTACTCGGGCCGCCAGCGGGGACGCCCGGTTGGCCTTTTCAGCGCCGCGGGGTTCCGCCTGGTCCGTTCCCGCCAACACAATTATGACTGGCACTGACATCTCTGCGCGTGGCGTCGTGACACGGCGAGTCGCCGATTCCTGATTCCTGACTGAAGCTCGCAGGGTCAGAGTTGATCCTTTTTCCACCGCCGAGCCAACCGACACCAACCGCATCGCTCCGGGACGTTTATTTAACTGTGATTGTTTTAACATGTACCGACGGACTCGCTTTCTTCCTTTGGCTAACTACACACTTTTCTCTCCCATCCATTTGCCTGGATGTGGAGGATTTGGTGCCGTCGAGCTGTGTGGTTGTCTAAGCGATGCGGCTGCGACTCTGGAGGACGATACGTTACCCATTAATTGCCCTCTGGTATCTCTTTCTGCGTCGTGGCTCCCTCGACAACACAGCGCAGTTTCATTCTTTTTCTTAAATTACATTATTTTGACATCGCAGCACTCAGTTTAATACTTTCAATTATTGCGGCAACATTTTTAGACTTTATCTTACACTCGTATCATAAAATATCCAACCGCATATATCACCTATAATTAACTAGTCAGCTGGGTCCCGTCTGTTTAAATGTAAATGCTACAAACATGTTGGGACATCCCTTGATCGCTCCGGTCCGTCGATTGGATGAGAAGCTTTACACGTTCGGCTTTACGGGTTGTGAGATTCAAACCAAATGTGCTAATACGCCGTCAGAGTGGCGGCTTTATTTAGCGCTGTCTCAGCTACTCGAGGAGGAAACAGGCCCACAGAGGCCTCTGCACTTCACGGCGTTCTCACCTCGGGGGGGTCGTCCCTCGTACCCCGAGCCTCCGGCGGCAGAGCTGCTGGTCCCCCAACAATTGCACGTGCCGGGCAGCGTTCTCTCTTCCAGGAACCTCTGCCTGTGTCTTAATAGATTTCTGGCACTTTCTCGTGTCTCCGTCGAGACAGAAGGCCGAAGGAAACCGAAGGCACCCTGCTGTGAATCCAGCATCTCGAAATGACATCTGCTGAAACTGTCCTGTTTGAACAAAGTGTGTTCTGATGTATTTCCCATGCCTACATGCTTATGACTAAACCCCATGCTGCTTAATATTCAAATGTATATTTCAGCTCTTTACTGGGTTGTAAATGGTCTCTAATTCTGACTCTCTGGATAACTGTGCATGAGTAACGCCCACAAACCGTATGTTTCTAGTGAGCGCGGAGGTTTATTCTGAAAAGACACATCATCCTAAACTAATGCCTAGAGGCTCAGAGTATGCAGCTCAGGGCCACTGGCCGCACTGCCGTCGAGTTTACTTTGTGAAAACTTGAGTCGTCGCCATACAAAGGATTCTCTTTGCAAATAGATGCGAGTGTTTTCAAAGTCGTACGTCGGGACAGGCGCACAATGATTTCCTCTCGATAGTTTGCCTAAAGCGGAAGATAATGGTCTCTCCCGTATCTCCGCGAGCAGCAGCCGACCTCCCCTCTGAGCGGAGCGTCCAGTGTGTGCAACCCAAAGTGCATTTGTGTGCGTGTGTGTGTGTGTGTAAGCTTATGTTTATCTCGGCACTGCCTTCGGTTCCCTTTGATTTCCCTTAAGCCTTGTGTCTTTTGTCATTGTCATGTTCTGGTCTTCTGAATGCTTGCTTATGGGTGTCATTTGTTTTCTCCCCCTGCCCCGCTCCCTCCCTCCCTGACCCCCCTCTCCCCCAACTTCTTCTTTATTTGCATGCTGTTCCTCCTGTTCCACACCTCCCTCCTCAACTGCCATGTCCTCTCCCTGTGTGCTCAGACACTGCGCCCAGCACTGAACCTGCAGCTCATGGTTGGTATCTCTACTTTCCTCTTGATGTCTCTTGTTTGTTTTTCTGTTTGCTCTCCCTGCCGCATGCTTACTTTGACTATTGCACAGTTGACAGTTCTGAAATGTCAGCCGTGTGGCTGGTTTCAGTGGTGTATTGATCCCGCGGACCGGCCTTTTGAGGTCACAGAGCACCTGTCAAGCAACAGTCAGGCTGTTTTTCTTGTTGTATTATTTGTGCCACGGAGATGTTTATTTCACATAGTGTCACTGAATAGAGTCACGCATAGCATACAAACACCTTTTCTCTAAAAGGAAAAAGCTTCTCGTACTCCTCAATGGAACTTTGAAATGGTTGAAAGGACGAACCAATTGCAGCGTGCAGGTGTCACTGAGGAATAAAAGGCACTCTGAGGCCAGGGCTGATTACAGCAACAGCATGAAAGGATTCTGTGTGGAAGCAGAAATAAACCTCATTTACTCGTTTTCATTCATTTGAATGAGGACGACATGCATCATTTTCTAATTTTGCTTAATTTGCATGTGTTTTTTTTTCCATTATTTTGTGGCAGAAGTTTCATAATTAGTTTGAACAAATTCTCAAACTTTCAGCATGAGCTCAGTTTTGCTTTGAATATCAAATCATGGGGGGCCGTGCAGCTCCTGACCCACCGTTTGTGGGTATTAATCCATCCTTATCTGGGGCAAGGAGGGCAGGTTTAGCTGCCGGGGGGTGGGGGGTGAGGGAGGGGGGTCAAGATGTCCCTCTCAAGCAATGCCTGGATAACCTTTGAAGAAAGAGGAATCCTGATCGGAAGCCCAGACCACCTCCGCTGCCCCCTTTAAATGCAAAGGTGAAGCGGCTCCACTCTGGACGCCTCCCTCAAGGCGCCGCTGAGGCTGAACCCGGCCGCCCCTCAAAGGAAGCTCATTTGGTGGACCGATTGCGTCCGCGATCTCATTCTTTTGGGTCTCTAATCAAAGCTGGTGACCGTAGGTCGGAACGGGGGGCTGACTGGTCAAGCGAGAGCTTTGCTCCCTCGTCGCCATGACAGTCCACAGTCTTCATGAGACTTTGAGATACTCGATCTCCAGCGCTCGAGGGGAAGTGACTTGCTCCTAACCCAGACCATCCACCAATGCGTGCTGAGGGTCACGGTCCCACGAAGCAAACAAAATCACACCGCCCGAAAAGACCAGAGATGCGGCTCTGAGGTCTCCAGACGGGACACTTCTGTCCCCCGGCTGCGCCTTGAGATCCAGATCAGGAAAATCATGCAATCGGTGAGGAGCGCTTATGTTATTCAGACAAACACGGTTATAAATTGGCAGATAAAACAAACACATTGATGAAATTCCCCCCGAGGGCCCGAAACCCCACGCAAGAATTCTATTATGCCAGGATACTAATTCGTCAAGAAAAGGGGCCTTCACACAATTACATTGCTTTGTTTCTTTGTCGCTTTTCAACCGACGGTCAGATTTTATCACAATGAAAGAGCTCAGGGCTTGAGAGGAATAAACAACGAGCGCTTGAGAGGATCGCATGCGGCCATCTTATCTTTTTAGATGATGGATATGATTCCCACTTACAAGGGGATCCGTTTGTGAAATGGATGGAGGCATTTGATAGGCGCAGGTTGGGCCTCTCATCTTATTGTATGAGTCATAATGCTTTTTGTATTCAAGCTTTTACAATTGAATTAGCCTTTAAAGTCTGAGTGCATGAGTGAGGGATGCATTTCATTTGACGGTCGGAATCCGATCCGAGAGGATTCTTTTTTTTTTATCACTATGCAGACAATACAATTCCGATGATAATGAGCTGTCAGAGAAGAGCGACACACTTAATTCCCCTGTAAAATGACCATGACCGACTGTTCTATGTGCTGATCTTAGTTTTACTAATTATTATCTGTCAGTAAACAAGGTTTAGTAATTCAGAGAATAGCTTTAAATTTAAAGCACCACGTTGCATGGATGCAAAAGGACGTATAAACAATTTTCTTACACCGTAACGCTTAAAGATATCCATTTCATCTCCATGTCCCACGTGTTTCGAATTATGTCTTCTAATTTATGCGCAAATTGAATTAATGATGTAATCAGCATAAATTGGCATGTTTAATAAATCACACTGATGGGATGCGAGGCAGTTGAAGTGCCTCCTGAAACACGCTGTTGATTTCCTGCGTCAGGCTGATGGGGGTGGGGGGGGGGGAGGGCGGCGTTCTCCCTCAGAATGATGTTGGCAGCTCGAATTGGCCGGGCTCCACAGATGCTTTATGCTCCTATTCGTCAGATTCGTTGTCAACATTTGAGTTCTTCAATGGCTTCCCCAGATGTTCTACGGCACCGCCGCGGTTCGTAAGAGGAGAGCCGCGCCCGCCGGTAATGCTCCTGCTCGCCGGCGCACACGCGCTGTGCGTCGAGGGGGGACTTCCACGCCGAGAACAAAAGGGAGGCAGACTGGATTTTAAATGTCGTCTGTCTATTTGATTCACAGCGGTGTTCGCGGGGAGGAAAAAACTGCGCGTCGGGTGCAAAGGTTTCAGTCCAGCGTGAAACATCTGGTTCTGGTGGGTTTGTAATGACTTGACCTGCTGGCAATTTGCCCCCTGTGTGTTCAATTACGCCCCAGATGATGCACCTCCAGAGGAAGCCAAATACAGCGTGAGCGATTATGCACAGGAAGGATCAGTGTCTGCAGAAAGATTTGCACTTTTGTCACATTTTGTCGCTGTCACCAGTGATGTGATCAGATGGAACTATTTAAAACTAGTCTGCACCTCATTTCCGTTGGCTGCGTGTGACTTCTCTCTTGTTTCACAGCTCAGCTCATAATCATTTCCTCCCATTGTAATTATTAAGTTCATTAATGCGACATGAATATATTCTGAATATAAATCAGAACATTTCTGGTGAAACAAACTAATTGCAATAAACAGTGTAGAGTCAAGATTGTAGATGATTCAAGGTCGTGTTACGTTGCGCGACGCGTGTTAATATTCACCACAAACCTCACTGACTGTAAAAGTGACTTATTTGTATTTCCAGATCTCTCTAAAAGGTCCCGCTCAATAAGATCATAGCGAAGGATTTCGGATGGTGGAACACGTTCAATCCGACGTTCCCCCCCGATGCAGAAAGTATTGCTCTTTATGTCGCGAGCTTTATCGATCTTCTGTGATCGAGCATTTCCACACAACAATCTTTTTGATGCCTCTTTTAACTTTTATCTGGATCTTACGAGTGAGGAAAAAAAAAAAAAAAGATTTTCTAAATCCCATCAAATTTCTTTTTTCTCGTCTCGGTGAAAAACACTTTGACAGGATAATCTTACTCAGTTCTTTTAAAAAAAAGAATTACCAGCGAAAAGACGTTAAAATGAAAGTGTTTGCAGGAAGCCAACACTGTTTGTGGTAATAATCATTTCGGCAAACTTTTTCTCACTTGCTCTACAGTCATAAACGCAGGAGAGAAAACTGCAGTATCTCGTTGATACATTTAAAATGTATCATCGGCTACTTAAGCTGCCGTAAGTCAGATGAAAACATCAAACAACAATCTGATCTCTGAGTGAAAGAGTGACGGAGGATCATCGGCTCCACTCGGCTTAACGAGCCACGAAGTCACTTTCAGACTCTTTGGTGCTGAAAGTTGTAGCCGTAAAAAACCCGAAGCTCCGCCGCTCAGCTCCGCCGTCCCGTTTCCTTTGTGGACGACGTCGGGCCGAAGCTCCTTTACTTTGTTCTTTGACCTCTGTTTAGAGCGGGTGTGAAAGGGGTCGCATAAGTTCTGTTTCATGAGTTGTTTTAATGGGATGTAGGTTTGGGGGGAAAAGGGCTCCGGTTGCAGTATTTCCCTCATGAAATATTTGTAAAGAGCAAAAGAACAGCTGAAACTAGACGAGTGGGTTCTCAAGGTGGATTCCTGTAGATGGAATCCCGTTAATATGCAAACAGGATTTGGTGAATGAGCATAAATGGAGGGTTCAGGTGTTGCATCGAATATTTCAATTTAATTAACTCTCACTCATTCCACGGGGCTTATGTCGATGTGGAATCGGGCTTTCGGTGGAAATATTAGGTCAGCTGAATAATCACGTTTTGCCCCCTGAAATGCCAAACAGCCCACAAACATCAGTGCCTCGGAACACGTCTTAGTTCAGTCTTAAAATACAAGCTCACGACATATTGATCGTATTTTATACGTCAAATTATTCTTGCTCATTTTTCCTTGAAGGTTAAACATGTTTTGCTCAGAGAACAGCGCTGCGCGTCCTTTGCCCCCGCAGGGAATGAAACCCTAAATCCAGCTGATGATCTCACCGTGGGAATGATCGTAGGATGTTGACGAGACGCCTTTTACTTTAAACACATCCAAGGTCAGCAGTTACATGAACATTTCATTCAGATGGAACTCAGATGTTGGCCCTCATTCGTTTTAACACCCACGGAAGTCTCTAATGATTTTGAGTCAGCCTCAATCGATGTGCAACTGTCTCTGACTCATTTCTAACTTTTTAAAGTTAGTATCCGTTGAAAATACATCAGGGTCGAAGTTGTTCCACTTTTAAATGGCTATAATATTGACGTTTTTAGGGATGTTGATGTTTAAAAGGACCAAATACAATGCAGACGGGTTTTATGTCAGCGGTGAATCTCTTATGACTTGGATTTCAGCGAATGTGGACAGTGATGAATCAGTGATGGTCAACGCGAGGAAAAGAACATCAATAGTATGACGGGCCCACAGGGCGAGGGAGCCAGCGGGTAGAGGAAGTTATTAAATTGAGAAACACTTCCCACAGGTCTGATGCCATGGGAACACGGCTGCAGCTCCTGATAATTAAAGCAAATACGTTTGACTAAAAGGTTAATATGGCGCATTTACAAAAGTCAATTTTGTATAGACTTCTGATAAACTGGCCCAGTGGAGGTAATATAGCAACATTAAACACTGATACAGCTCTGGAGGGAATATAGCGACGCGCCTTCGTACGAGTCAACCTTTAATAATGA